CAGCTGTGGCTGCCCCTGGATCCCTGGCAGTGCCCAAGGCCAGGCTGGACATTGGGACAGTGGGAGGTGTCCCTGCCATGGCAGGGCTGGCACTGCAGGGGCTCTGGGGTCCCTGCCCTCCCAAAATATCCTGGGATTCTCAGTGCCAGACTCCTCTGCATCCACACCACGACTGCAGGTGCAGGAATGAACCATTCCCATTCTCACACTCCCAGGAACCTCAAGCAATTATGGGATTTATCAATTCTGTGATGGTTTTAAACCCAAGGATGCTCCAATACGCAGCAAAAATCCCCATGCAATGCCCGCCCCCAGGAACCACCAGAGTCCCCTCAAACAGGAATTTTACCTTTATTTCAGGGATTTTGGCTGAAAGGAGGGAGGGAGGAATGTGAGGGAGGGTCTGAGGGAAGGAGGGAGCAGGAGGGAGAGGGGCTGGAGGGGAGCAGAGGAAGGAGTGGCACCGGGAGCTGCAGGAGGGTGACAGTGACACAGAGCTGGGCCCTCCTGGAGATGCTGCCCCGCAGCAGCTTCCTCACCTTCCTCTGCCTCATCTTCAGGAACAGAGGGCACTGGGATGGATCCCTGTCCTCCCAGCTGGATCCCACATGGATTCCCTGCTCCAAGCTGTGACCCCACGTTGTCCCCCTGCTCCCAGCTGGGTCCCACCAGCCCTGGGATCCATTCCGGGCCCCTCCATCCTGCGGGAGCAGAGGGACAACAGGGATCAATCCCCTCAGCCTGAGCAGTGAAACCACAGCAGGAGGAGGCTCCACCTCCCTCTGGAGTTGTGGGAATGGCTCCAGGGAAAGAGCTGGAGCCATCCCTGAGGCACCCCTTGAGTCAACATTTCCAAACTGGGAGCAGGGACTGGGCTCTCCCCTGGCTGAGCCAGCACTTTCATCCTTAAGGAGTGTTTCAAATATTCCTGGGACGAACTCTCCCACTCCCATCCAGTTCCCCCATCAGGGCAGCACCTGGATCCTGTTCCCAGTGGGAACATCCCTGGATGGAGCCCCAGAAGGGCTCAGCTGTGTCCCCCTCCCAGCAGGAACACGCTCTGCCCGGGGCACGTTTTCCCTGAGGATTTTTTGGAGAAATTGGCACCAAGGGCTGCACTGGCCAAAGCGGAATCCAGGGAATTTGGCTGCTGACAGGACCAGGACAGCCAAGGAGCAGCCCCTTCCTTCCCAAATTAGCACCACAGAGCAACCAAACTTCCCTGGAACCCTCAAAAACCAGGAGCAGGGCACTCATTTCAGCTTTTCCTCTGCTTCCAGCTCCCAGCCAGGAGCAGGCAGCTCAGATTCCCACTCAGGATGGAAATCATCCACAGGGAGATCCTTTCTCCTTCCTGGAATCCCTGATAACCCAGAGAGGATCCCTGGGAAGGAAGGAGAGCCTGAGCCCGTGGAGGAGCCTGGAGTTGCATCCACTGGTTAAATTTGGCTCTGGAAAAGAACCTGAGGGGGAAATGCCCAAGATTTCCTGCACTGAGCCCCATCTTCCTGAGCCTTGCAGGGCCTGGTGCTATTTTAGCTCCACCTTAAGTGCTTCCCACCTTCCCTTTCATCTCCCAGTCACCAGCCTGGCTGGAGCTTGAAGATCCAAGTGAATTCTACTCGATCCCACACCCGACAGGTAGGGATTGTTTGTGAATCACCTTTAAAACAGCTCAGCATCTTCAATTCCACGGTTTTCAGATCAAGTCCCAACTCGGAGCAAATTCCCACCGCAGAGGCTTTGGGGCTGGGAAAGTTGGCACAACCCCACTGCAAATCAGTGCTAAAAACACCAATCGGAGCCCAAATCCCGGAGAGCTCCGGGCCTGGCCGGGACGTGGCTTTGGTCAGTCCTCAGGAAGGACCTGCTACGGAAAAAGGGAACAAACCCCACCCCTCATCTCTTCCCGTGGGGCCACCAGGAGCCGTGTGCCGAGCTCTTGGCGATGCTGAGCTTCTCCTCGGGGCTGAAGTGCAGGATGGCCAGGATGGCCGTGAGCGTCTGCTGCCGGCCCCGCGCGTCGGGCAGCGTCAGGAACCGGTACACCACGTTCTTCAGGTACTCCAGGTTGGCTCCTTCCCGGCTCTTGTCCCTGCAGCTCTTCTGGATCTCGCCCCGCAGCGCCGCCACCTCCTCGCGGTGCTTGTCCTCCTCGGCCAGGGCCCTGCCCTGCAGCTGGTGCAGCTGCACCTCCAGCCGGTGCCGCTGCTTGCGCAGCGCCGCGATCTCCACCTCCTTGCGCGCCAGCTGCTCCGCGTACAGGAAGAAGGTGGGCTCGGAGCCGGAGCAGGGCTGCAGCTCCTGCGGGAGGATCTCCGAGGAATCCGGCCTGGGGGCGTCCCCGGGGGCGCCGTCCCGGCAGCTCTTGTGGCCGTGGGGCGGCGTGAGGGCGCGGAGCTGCTCCAGCTCGCGGTCCTTCTCGGCCAGCACGGCCAGCGCCCGGTCCCGCTGCTTGTGCATCTCCTCCTCCAGGCGCAGCGCCCGCTCCCGGAACTCCAGCTGGCAGCGCTCCAGCTCCTGCCGGTGCAGCTGCTGCAGCTGCTGCAGCTCCTGCTTCTTGGCCTCCAGCTCCTGCCGCTGCTGCTTCTCCATGTCGTCCGTGGCCAGCTGCAGCAGCACGTGCTTGTCCCGCAGCTCCGCCAGCTGCTCCCGCGCCTCCTCCAGCTCCCTGGCCAGCCCCACGTCCTTGCTGGCCTTGCTCTTGAGCACCTGCTGCGCCCTCACCTTGTAGCGCTCGAACTCCTCCTTGAGCTGCCGCAGCTCCTGCTGGCAGTGCCCGCCCGGGGCCTTGTCCCCGTTCCCGTCCCCCGGGGGCAGCTCCGGCTCCCGCGGCTCCTCCTCCGGGCCCTTCCCAGCCGCCACCTGCAGCAGCTTCCGCAGCTTCTCCATCTTCTCCTTGAGCACGGCCACGTCCAGGGTGGCCTCGTCCACGGCGACCTCGCCCAGGGGGCGGCTGGAGGCGGCGATGGCCAAGGTCTTGTTCTCCAGGTCCAGCTGCACGATGCGGTCCTTGAGCCTCTGGATGGTGGCCTGGTCCCTCTGCTTGGTCTTCTCGTAGGTGCCCAGCAGCTCGGACACCTGGGCCACCTGGGCCTCCAGCTCGGCCACGCGCTGCTCCTCCCGCTGCGAGCGCTGCCGCAGCTGCTCCTCGGCCTGGGCTGTCTGCAAAGGGACACAGAGGGGCTAGGGCAGCACGGGGACACACCCGGGGCCACACCCGGGGTCACACAGGATCCCTGCTCTGCTCCAAACCAACAACGGGCGCTCCCCACCCCGGGAATCCTGCCTGAGACACCTCCCTGTCCTTGCTTTTTGGGGATTTGTGTGTTTGGAATCCTGGGATGGTTTGGGTGGGAAGGAAGCCCAGAGCCCCTGCAGTGCCAGCCCTGCCATGGCAGGGACACCTCCCACTGTCCCAGCTGCTCCCAGCCCCAATGTCCAGCCTGGCCTTGGGCACTGCCAGGGATCCAGGGGCAGCCGCAGCTGCTCTGAGCACTTTGTGCCATTTATTTCAAACCTGCTGGACTCTGAGGGACTGGGAAGGGGAATTTGTCCTACTCCAGCGCCACTCCCTGGACACATCCCACAGAGAGCTGTTCCCCAGGACTGCCATCCCATCAATCCAAGCCAGGATGCTTTGGACTCTGAGAGACTGGGACAGGCAAAACCCCCACCCTCATTCCCAGCCAGGAACCACCTTCTTCATCTCCTGCACCAGCTGCAGCTGGAAGTGGTTCTTGAGGCCGGCCATCTCCTCCTGCAGCTCCTGGATCCGCGGGTCCGGCTTCCCGTTCTCCTCCCGCACTCCCTGCAGCTCCCTGCGGAGCTCCTCCAGCTCGTGGCTCAGCTGCCGGGCGTGCTGCTCGTAGCCCTGGGCGCGCTCGGCGCCGCGGCCGTCGCCCAGCAGCCTCTCGGCGCCGCGGCGCGCCTCCCGCTCGGCGCGCAGCAGCTCCTGCAGCTCGCGCAGCATCAGCCCGTGGTCGCCCTGCTCGCGCTCGCGCTCGCGCTGCTGGGCGGCCAGGCGGGCGCGGGTCTCGGCCAGCAGCTCCTGCAGCCGCCGCAGCTCGGCCTCCTGCCGCTCCGCCTCCTCCCGCGCCCGCGCCGCCGCCTCCTCCAGCTCCTGCTTCATCTGCCGCCGCTCCGCCTGGTACGACGCCTCCATGCGCGACTTCTCCTGCGTCACCGTGGCCAGCGCGCCCGTCAGCGTGGCCAGCTGGGCTTTCAGCTGCAGCAGGCGCCGCTCGGGCTCGCCGCCGGCGCTGAGCTCGCCGCTCTCGGAGCCGCTCGGCTCCTCTGCTCTCTGGGGAGGGGCAGCCGCGGGTTTGTCCTCCTCGTCCCCCTTGGCGCTGGTGGCGCTGGTCAGGCTGGCCGCAGTGTCCGCGCTGGTGGCCGTCCCCGCGCTGTCCTCGCTGTGCTCCGAGCTGCGGTCATCCGGGCAGTCCCCGGCTGCAGGCGGCGGCACTGCCAGGTCCCCCTCGTGGGACACGGAGAGCACCTTCAGGCTGGCTTCCAGCGCTTCCTTCTCCTTCAGGAGGCTCTTGTAGGCATGGACAACGTCCTTGAGCCGCGCCTGGTAGCGCAGGAGCTGCTGCTTCTGCGTCTCGATGGTCTCCAGCAGCTCCTTCCTGCTGGGGCCGCCCCCGAAGTTCATCCCGAACTTCTCCATGGCGGGGGAATCTAGGGGGGAAGCAGGGCAAGGAGGAAAGGCACCTTTGGGATGGGCAGAGCATCATCCTGGGCCCACCAGGACACCACATGGGCGGCAAACATCACAAACATCACCCTGACCGCCCCTGCCCAGGAGCACCATCCTGAACCCCTCAGGACCCACATCCCAACCTGCCCAGGACTCCCATCCTGACCCCCCGGACACTCCCCAGGCACCTCTCGGATCCCCTCGGGCCCTCCATTTTCACCTCCTCAGGACCCCCCTGACCCCCACCGTGACTCCCCAGACACCATCCTGACCCCCAGAGCCACCGTGACCCCCTCACACGCCACCCGGGCCCCCCGGACCCCCCATCGTCACCCCCTCAGGACCATCCTGATTCCCACCCTGATCCCTCCGGAGGCCCCGGGCCCCCCAATCCCTCAACCCTCCGGTCCCTCTCTGCCCCCCGGTCCCCCCTCACCTCCGGCCGCTTCCGCCGCGTCGCCACTTCCGCCGGAAGCCGCTGGGTGGGGCGGGGCAAAGCGTGACGGACGGGGCGGTGCCACACCCCAAATAAGGCGATGTGTGGGCGTAGCTAAACGGGGACTGCCCGCCGTGTGGGCGTGGCTTATGGCCACAAGGGGGCGTGGTCTCAGCGCGCGACGCGGAGAGCGGCGTGGGCGTGGCCCCGGCGAGCGAGGGGGCGTGGTCTGATGGGGCGTGGTCTGAGCACGAGGGGACCGTGGTGTCGTAATGGGCGTGGTCTTTGATGTGTGTGGGCGTGGTCAAGGTGAGGGGCGGGGCCTTCGTCCCGGCTCAGCACGGCGGTGACAGCAGCGTGTCCGTCCATGTGTCACCTGGCGTGCTCCGTGTCCCCCCGTGTCCCCTCCGTGTTCCGCCCACGTCCCCATGTTCCCTCGTGTCCCCTCTTGTCCCCCCACATCCCTCCGTGTCCCCTCGTGTCCCCTCCGTGTCCCCTCCGTGTCCCCCGCGTCCTCCCTGTCGCCGTGTCCACCCGTGCCTCCCCGTTTCTCCGGCACCGCTCTGTCCTTGGCCGGGGCTGTGGCCAACAGAATTCCGGCCTCCACAGAGCCCCCGGGACAAAACTTTGTCACCTGTTTGTACATTCTGAGCCGACAAACGAATGTTCATTGGTTGTGAATTACATAAAATATCATTAATTAGCATTCTGTCTTTTACTGGTGATTGAATTCTTCCTTGGGCAGGGACACCTCCCACTGTCCCAGCTGCTCCTGCCCCAATGTCCAGCCTGGCCTTGGGCACTGCCAGGGATCCAGGGGCAGCCACAGCTGCTCTGGCAATTCCAGCCCAGCCAGCAATTCCCAATTCCCAAGATCCCAGCCAGCCCTGCCCTCTGGCAGTGGGAGCCATTCCCTGTGTGCTGTCCCTCCTTGTCCCCAGTCCTGTGCAGCTCTCCTGGAGCCCCTGCAGGCCCTGCCAGGGGCTCGGAGCTCTCCCTGGATCCTTCTCCTGTCCCGGTGAGCACCCCCAGCTCTCCCAGCCTGGATCCCTGGGAACTGAGGGGCTCCAGCCCTGGAGCAGCTCCAGGTGCTGCTGCTGTGTCCCCAGGGCTGGGGCGCTGCCCCCACATGGAACCGGCCCCTCTGTGACATCAGCCCGGCCTGGTGGCACCACGGGCACTTCTAGGACCGTGGGCACCAGAGGTGACACCTCGGTTCTGCCTCTGCCACCTGCGCTGGCACCGATGGCTTTGCTGTGGCTGCTCGTGCTGCTGGCCCTGGCCGGGCCCGTGGGGGCCACCTGGGACACCTGCAGGTCAGTGGCCCCAGGCTCTGGGAGAGGGCTCAGGGGACACTCAGGGGGTTCCCTGGCAGAACTGGGGGGACAGATTCCCCTTGGGATTCTCTGCCCCTGCTGTCCCCGAGCAGTGATGGCTTTTTTTTGCTTCCAGAGGGACCTGTGGGCTCCTGCCCTTGGCTTCTGACCACAGCTCCGTGGCTTCTGCCGAGGACATGTCCCATGCTGTGGGTGGCACCAGTGCCCAGTCAGGGGCCTGGCCCGGCATTGTCAGCATCCAGGCCACGTGGGAGAACGGCACGTGGCACATGTGCACGGGTGTCCTCCTCAGCCCCCAGTGGGTCCTCACGGTCGCACACTGCTTCGCCAGGGCTGGGTAAGAGACAGCAGGGACAGAGATGTCCCCAGAGCACGGGCAGGTGCCCAGGTCACAGCACCCCGTGCCTCTTCCCTGTCTGGGAATTGCTGGGCTGCAGCAGCCCGTGGCTCTGCTCCCTGTCACCCCTCTCTCCATCTGCTCCCCAGGGCCGTCTCCACCTGGGAGGTTGTGATTGGGGCCACAGATCTGACTCAGCTGGGCCCCGAGGCCGCGGTCAGACACATCCAGAGGCTCCTGGTGCACCAGCACTACGTGCCTGCCACAGCCAGGAACGACATCGCCCTGCTGGAGCTGGACCAGCCCGTGGAGTGCAGCGACTACATCCAGCTGGGCTGTGTGCCCGATGCCTCGCTCAGGGTCTCAGAGCTGAAATCCTGCTACATCGCCGGCTGGAAC